GATCATTTATTTATTAGAAATTATTATAGTGACAGGAACTTACCTGGGTTATTATTTCGAGTTAAATTGGCTGCTTAGCTCTATCTCGATGAAGTATATGTGAGGTCGGTCGGTAATGATGCACGAACACTCAATTCAAGTAATTATTTATTTATTCAAAGACAGAAATGATTTCTCAAAAAAATAACAATAGGTAAATTGTACGTTATTCGGCCGTCGCGCTTCGCGAATCAGCTCGTAAGAACTTTAACAAATTTTAATGCTATTGAGTAATCGCGCGTCGCGAATCTGCTGCCGAAAAGTCAAGTCTCTGTTTTTATATTGACTCTTCGGCTCGTATTAATGTGTTGAGTAATCAGAAAATCAAAATGTCGGGCGCCCCAAATTTTCGGACTACTTATCTTTTAATTTCGCTGAGTTTGTATTTCGTAAAAATGCCGTTCGTCGTTTATACATTATTTCGTTTTCAATCGATTGCTGATGAAATCAAAATGAAGAAATATTTACGTCTCAGGACGTAACACCTCCGTGGCTAGATCGTTGTATATCGGTGTGATATCAACGCAAAACAAACAAAATAAATAAATAAATACTCTTGGTTATTTGGCAATCAATTGAATACGCTTTAATTTTGCCTTAATAGTACTTTTAATGCTACGCGAACAATAATACTCCGTATCGTGGTATAGTAGAGCTTAATTTCAGGATTCGATATGTATATATATAACAGATTTGTGTTTTTAACTAATGTGATTCTAATGTGAAAATTGGAACATGTTGCTTCTTTCTGGTGGAAATTTCTTTAGGAGTAGGGACGGGGGGTGTGGTGTTTGAGGTCTGATTCGTGAATGGGATTATTGCTTGTGGGTTCTCATTTTTTTGTTTGTCTATTACTATTTCATCCAATGCATATTTTTCATCTTTTGATGGAGTTTGGTTTCTCTGTTTGAGCAGTGGTTTATTCAGTGCCACCAGTAATTGTGTTATTGAACTAAATATGGCTCCTAGCAAATATGCAGAAATTCCATATATAGAGTATAGAGTGTAGCCTCTGATTATTACATTGATTAAACTTTTACCGCATTGAAATATAATGGCGGTCATTATGATGGCAGAACTTATAGAACCAAATTTAGTTAGTTTGGTGATGAACTTGTTCCATGTGCTTCCAGCGATGTTGGTTAGTGATTGTTCTGTCAGTATTAGGTTTGATACTAATCCTCCCTCTACACTTTCGTCGCCTCGCATACTTCTCGCGATTACGTTGAGGAGTGATGCTTTCTCCATGGGAAAGAGGATGTGATTTTGTAGTTTTTGTAGGTCTTCTTGGGAGTAGATCCCACTGGTCGCCAATGATTCTAGTTCCGTCGGTTTCCATGTTATTTTGATGGTCGGTTTCAAGGTCAGAACTGCGTTGGTTGTTCTTCTCGGTATTGGTGTCAAATTTATCCATTCGTTTCCTATTTTGTAGTATTGGGGAATGATTGTGTTACAGTTTATTTCTGTTCCTGTTTTCATTAAGATGTGTGTTTTTGGTGTGAGGTAAATGTTTCGTTTCTTGAAATGACTAGAAGTTGCGAGAAACATTTGTCTGTATGAAGTAGTTGAACTTCTGTAGGCGTACATTGTATAATATGTACGGCTTCCCCTGCCAGGCGAGCTATGTACCCGGGCTTCTCCATGATGTTGTACGCAAATTCATCTGGTGAGAGGGACGCCAGGGATAAGGAGTTATATAGGACTTTCCTTTCCAATTCACATTTTTGTTGCAATATATCTATATAGAGGCTTTTTATTTCGACCCTAAAATGTTTCTCTACATACACAAATTTGCTATTGAAATACGTGAATAGATCATAGCTAAATATCCCTTGCTTCGTTTGAATATCATTGTCGTACAAAATATTGAATTGGGTTCGTTCATATATAAAAAGTTTTGGATGTTCAGTTGTGATTAAGATTCTGTTGCAAAAACTCATGTTCCCTCTAGTTGACAATGCAAAGGATACTTCGTTCGTACTTATGCTAAAAATCGTTTCATGATCAGGTGAGCTTATTTTAGTGACCGTTCCTCTATACAGTATATCGTATTGATTCTCGAAACAGTCCTCGTGCGGTAGTAATGACCAAAAGGTGTAACCCCCTTCCATATCGATACAATGTTGGTCCGAAAACTTACATACTGTACCCGAATTTAATATTAATCTATCATTGTTTAATTCGACTACTGCATAGCTTTCTAACAAGGTTATTTTTATAAGTCCCTGTACGAGAACATCGCTCCACGTACCAAATCGGTCGGCGTAGGCTGCCCCTGAACAAGTTTTTCCCTTAACGTTTCCTGCTAGATCTAAACCTACACTTTTTGTCGAGTTAATCCTTAGGTCGGCTATTGCTATACAAATTAATCCTAACTAGAATTAGTCCAATTATTGTTAATAAAAAACTTATACCAGATCATCAGTTCGGATTTAGATGCAATCACTCAACGATCGAACAAGTTAACAGAATTGTTAACGTTGTGAGAAAAGCCATCGATGACAAACAGTACTGCAGAGGCATATTTCTCGATGTCGCCTAGGCGTTTTACAAAGTCTGGCACAATAGGCTTCTATATAAACTCAAGAGAATGTTTCCTGAACGTTACTATAAGTTATTAAAAGCATATCTCCATAACAGGTCATTCCAAGTTAAAATAAATGATAAGGTATCGCAGCATCAAGCAATAAAAGCAGGAGTGCCACAGAGAAGTGTTTCAGACCCAACGCTATACCTGCTATACACGTAGGACCTACCAAAGTCTCCAAGCAGCAACTATAACAGCAACTTATGCTGATGATACAGCAATTCTAACAACACATCATAAAGCAAAAATAGCAACAGAAATATTATAGGAATACATAAATCAACATTTACATTACTGGCTTAACTCGTGGAAAATAGTAGTAAACGAGAACAAATCAATACACACTACATTTACTCTTCGGAAAGACACCTGTCCATCTATTAAATTAAATGATAAATACATTCCTCAAAGCGAACAGGTAAAATATTTAGGTATACACTTCGATCGAAGGTTAACATGGAAAGAGCACATACAGTCGAACCCGCGGCACTTCTCGTTGCGGCACTTCTTGCGCCCCCGCACTTCTCGCTGGCTGCGCCGCGGCACTTCTCAAGGGGCAGGGCCGTACACTGCCCCTTGCGTACCAGGGGGTCTCTCTTTCTCTTACGGCCTTATTGGAAGGCTTATTCTTCCCTCTTTATAATTTTAATAGATTTCCGAATATGTATGGATAATCCGACTTCAAACTTTTAGATTTATGGATACACATACATAATCCGACTTTAAACTTTTAGTTTTATGGATGCAGATAATCCGATTTTAAACTTATGAACCCATCTCTTTCTCTTACGGCCTCACCGGCAGGCCTCACCTGCCCTCTCTTACTTCTAGAACTAAGATGTGATAATGATCTCGAGATAACCCTCGGCTATCCCCGAATCGCAGCCGAAACTGGTAGAGGCTGAGACAGCCTTGCGTAAACCGCGGCACTCATTTCACCCAAGCTGTTGCGTGCAGCCCTGGCTAATCGCCACACCGCCAGACGAGCGAAACATTGAGGAAGCATGCCGCATCTCATATGTTGTCATAAAACAACAGGCAGACGCTTGCCACGTCGAATCAACCAGATTACACTTAATGTTTTCCGAGATATTAATATAATTACTTAATAATTACCCCGAGACCTGTCGGTACCTGCTGTGGAAAACATTGGGATTGCCCAGAAGTTTTCCCGGCGCGTCCGACATCTATCGGTCCGATGTATTTTAATTATTCGCGCTTAGCTCTACCTAACCGTCTGCTACATCAGTCTATTTTGACTTTCGAATCTATCCAGTCGAAGATTTGTTTGTGTCATAGAAAATTTTGTCTCGAAGCATTGCTTAGTTTCCTGTTGATTATATTTACATAGTCAGTCAGTTTGTTGTATACAGTTGTATACACTATATATATATACATATATACGTATATATTTATAGATTTGTACACGTTGATTGACGTTTTTGAAGTGACTTTTTTGCAGTGAATATTTGAACGGTAAGTGTATTACGTTTTAATAATTTTATAATTTTCCTCCACAAAATAACGCAAGAATGTATTTTTAATTTGATATTTATATTGTTTTAACCCGTAAAGTACATATTTTATATATCTGCTAATTAATTTGTTTATCAAAACAAAGTTATAAGTAAATTTTAATTAACAATTTAAAATAAATTAAAATTTAAGAATCTTTCTACACTTATTAAAAAACTTGTAAAAACAAGTATTTGATAGTTTTATAATTTTTATCCAGTTTATTTGCAGTAGAAAAATTCAATTATAAATTGTTTATACATATGTATATATCCTTTAAGGCCCATGCAGAAAATGGATGATGTAGCGACAAATTAATTACGATTTTCATCGTATAATTAAAAATAAATTATATGTATTTTTTCTACGTTGGAACTTTCAATTGTTTGAAAAAAATTATTTAAAATGAAAATTTTCATTCGTGAAAAATTGAAACCACCAATCGATTCTATTCAAAATCCAAGACGAAAATTACTATGACGTTTTTTTGTCAGTGTATAATATTTATAAGCAATTGAAATTTATTAAAATTATTATGATTTTCGACAATTAATTATGCCAATCGATTCTATGGAAAAAAATTATGACAATAAATCAAAATCTGACGTAAAAACATCATAGATATTTTCGCCTTGATTTTTTTCGTAGCTTCGATTGATGCTTTTATTTTTTGAAAACCAAAAATTTTCCACTAAATTCTTTAAATAATTTTTTTATAAACCATTGAAAACTACAAAAGAAAAAATACGTATATTTTATTTTTTTATTATATGTACAATAAATGACGAATTATGTTTCATTTATATATACTATTGTTTACTGTATTATTTATTTACAAAAATTTCTTTTTCAGATTGCCATGTCTAAGTCTTTAACAGCAGCGCAAATCTCCGATATCAAACAGAAACTGTTTGAAAAGCAGTCGATGGCCAGTCTTGCTAAGGAATATAATGTATCATCAAGGACAATCGGGAGAGTGAGGGACATGGACGGCCAGCAGCAGACAGGCCTAGAATCTCCAATCATCAGGAAGCACCAGGTGAACTTGTCGATTAAAGACAAACTGGACATCATCGCCAAGCTTGAGAAAGGACAATCGACGGATGATTTGGCAAAGTTCTATAACGTCGATTCTTCAACTATCAGAAATACCAGATCTTCAAAATCAGATATATTGAAGCGTAGCTTGGCGCTGGAGCAGTCAAAGCAACCATTAGATAGTAAAAGAATTCGTACAGAAGAAAACATCCGTGACACAGCGCTATATTCTTGGTTCGAGGACGAACGTGCTGCTGGAATACCAATCTCGGGTAGTTACCTCCAAGAAAAGGCTTTGGAGCTCCACAAAGCGAAAGGACTCGAAGGCGATTTCAAGGCGAGCAGCGGTTGGCTCAACAATTTCAAGAAGCGCTATGGTATCAGAGAATTATCTATGCAAGGAGAAAAATTGTCTGCTGATAGTATTGGAGCAGAAGACTTCAAAAGTGAAATGAAGAATTGCATCGTAGAAGGAGGCTACTCTTTGGACCAAATGTACAACGCAGATGAAACGGCCTTATACTTCAGATCGCTGCCACGGAAAACTTTAGCTGCAGGCCACGAAAGACAAGCAGCGGGATTTAAAGAGCCAAAGGAACGAGTCACGGTCATGTGCTGCGCCAATGCGACGGGATCGCATAAAATTACGCCTTTAGTCGTCGGAAAATTTGCAAAACCAAGATGTTTCGCTAAGTGTAAAGGAGAAAATATTTTGTTACCAGTGAAGTATACTAGCAGCAAATCAGCCTGGATGAACAAAAAATTGTTTTTGGACTGGTTCGAAAACGTCTTTATTCAAGAAGTAAAAGAAAAACATCCAGTGCATAGGAAAGTGCTTCTTTTACTCGACAATGCGCCATCTCACCCTTCTGCTGATGAGCTGAACCAAATCGACGAGACGATCCAAGTGAAGTTTTTACCGCCGAATGTGACGGCTTTGGTTCAACCTATGGATCAAGGAGTGATAGAAAAAATGAAAAAGATGTACCGAAAAAAGCTGTTGAAAGAGCTTTTCCTACAGCAACGTGGAGGCAGTACGAAAGGCAGCATTCACAAATTAGCGCAAAAACAAGATATGAAAGATTGCTGCTATAGAGTTTGGAACTCTTGGAATGACATCAACGACCGAGATATTTCCCATGCCTGGAATCGGTTTTTTGATGTCGCTGATTTTCCACGAGAGCAACGAGTTTCTGCAGAAGAAGTCAATCAGTTACTTGCCCTTCTCAGAGATGCTCCAGAGTACGCTGATTGTACTTTTGACATGGCAGCAGCTTGGATTGCAGCTGATTTTCAAGAAAACGCCTGGGAGCGTTCAAATGTTGTTGAAATTTATGAGAGGTATGTAAAGATGTTTTCAATAAATAAATTTATATATATATATATATATATATATATATATATATAATTTCATGATACGTTGCATTAAAGCATGCTATAATTTTTTTTTAGGATGACAGCATCTAGTAATGGCTCGGAAGAAGGAGAAGAAGAAGAGGAAGAAGGTGAAATTGAAGAAAGCGATCGTGTATGCCAACCAGAAGAAGAGGTTTCACGCGAAGATGCGTATAAGGCTGCACTGACACTCTTGAAGTTTCTTGAGAATGATTGGGATTCTACGCCAGGCCAAATCAAAAATATCCAAAATCTTGCAGATCATGTTATTACTAACTAAGCCAATTACTAATTACTAGTAAGTAAACTAATTACTAAATAAGCCAATTTGAGTTTTTCATAATTTAATTTTGATATTTATGTGATTTCTGAGTTCCTATATGTAATAAAAAAATATCTAGTTTGTACAATGAAAATAAAATAGATTTTTATTGATTTTTTACCAAACGCGTTGTGTATTGTGATTTTTATTGAAAACGAGACATGATGAAAAAAAATACCAGTATGTAATTTGCAATTGCTTATAAAAATTATTTAAACGAATTAATAGATCTTTTATTTATAAAAACTAAAAAAACCATTGGTGTTATTAGTTTTTCAAAATCGGTAGTTTTTAAAAATTTTGAATCGTTTATAATGATTTTACACTAACAAATTAGAATCTGACAAAAAAAACGCGATAGAGAATGTCTTAGATTTTCTCGTCAAACCAATTGATGCTTTTAATTTTTTTAAAGAAAAAAAAATTTTCCGATTTATTTTAATAATAAACAAAATTTTTAGCGATTTATTTTTATAATAAAAAAATAACAAAAATATAAAAAAATATGGTATTAAAAAAAAGAAGTATTTCGTTCGTTCATGTTTTACAAAGAAATTAAATAACTAATTATTGCCTATACATATGTAGAAATCATAAATAAAATTTATTTGCGTTCAATTTTTTAAATTATCAAAAAAAAGTTGACTATCATATTAATTATACTTTGTTGTTAACGTATGAATTTTGTTTAATATAAGGCGCAGCTGCTTATTTTGAACTATTTTTGAGGGCCCCAAAGGGCCCGCGCGGCAAGCTACAGTATGCCCATACCTGGCCGTACGCTCTGATTGGCTGCCGCTCACCGAGAAGTGCCGGGGCGAGCTACTCCCGAGAGCGAGAAGTGCCGCGGGTTCGACTGTATTTACAAAAAGAAAACAGAATTAAAATGGAAGAAAATGTACTGGCTCATAAGAGAAAAATCGGAGCTGACAATCGAAAACAAACTTTTACTATACACAGCTATACTCAAACCAGTATGGACCTACGGCATTCAATTGCGGGGTGCTTCTTCAAATTCGAACATTGTAATTCTGGAAAGATTCCAATCGAAAGTACTTCGTAATATTGTACGCACGCCTTGGTTTGTCCCAAACGAAATCATTCAAAATGATCTAAAGATTCCAACAGTAAAAGAAGAAGTTAAAAATTTCTACGTAAAATACAATACTAGACTTCAAAACCACACAAACGATCTTATCAGCAAGCTTCTCAAAGATTCAATCAAAAACATCAGACTCAAGAAACATAAAATAATGAAAGTTTAAACAGAATATTGTACAATGTCTCTCGATAATGTTAAGAACTAGTAAGAATACTCACTGGAGTAATCTTCTGTATCCATGTAAATTAATCATATAGTTATAAAAATTTACTTATTGTTTTCATGTAGACAGATTGTAAAGTACCTTAGGAGTAAATAAAAAAAAAATTTTTCTTGACCTTAGTTTTGTATTCGATTTCCTAAGCTACATTCGATATCTAAGTGTGGGGTTGAGTACATATTTAGCTAGGTCCTTTTCGTTATCTTATTGCCAAGTGTGTGGTAAGATAACATGAAGTATAACTATATTGCCTAGTCAGTGGTATGGTGAAACTTCAACCATTCGTGGCCGAAAGAGAATTTTTCACGATTATTATCCAAAAGAATAGACCAAAAAGGTGCACCTGAGAACTATGTTGCGTTTACCGACATAATAGTACATGCATAAATCTGTAATATCAAAAGTATTCCAAACATTTGGCGCAAGCTTATAATCGGCTTTAATGATATTACTGTTTGTCCCTATTAAGAAAATCCGGCTAAAAATTCGAGGTTAAATTGTTACATGGATATCTAGTTGGATATTTATGTGGATTTCACATAGATTTTATATGGATATCCAACCTGGGAGCCACGCACTTATTGTTAATGCAGCAGTGAGAGAAAAGAAATAATTGGCCTAGACGGACGCGGAGTTAAAGTGATTACACGGAACGATACGACAATAAATGCAACGCGACCGCGCTACTTCGCTATTTTACCATCGCTGAACGATTCACGCGACTTACTTGGTAAGGCCAAACTGCCGAAAGCTAGGGCGATAGTCAATAGGATGGAACGTCTCTGCTGTTGGCCCTTGCAGTTCTTTACGTTGGTCGCTTCTCGTCTCCCTATTTACTCCCTATTTACTTTAGGATTCCCCTGGATTCTCGCGCACCTTAGTTATTCGTCGGGGAAGCCGGGAAAAAACCACGGGTCATTTTCTTGCGCTGATCAAAATACAACGAATACCGTTTTTCACCTACTTCCGGATTTCTTCTTTTTTCGCACAGCGCGTAGTCATGTACGGTAAAGCAGTGTAAGCAACTGACAGATGCTCGCGACGGTAGTAGAAGACAATAACGAGCGACTCTCAGTAATACATATAATTCAACTTTCCAAATTTAGGAATGATTTTGATTTAAACTAGAAAACTTATATCTGAAAATTCAAGTTCATTTTTATAATATTTATATACTGCTTCTATTTGCAATCAATGTCGGTTATGGAATGTAAGAGGCAAGTTTTCAAAGGATTATTATGTTTATTTACGAGGGTGGTCCGATAAGTACTTAGCCTCACCGCCTGATGGCGCCACTCTCTCAAAAGAAATATTCTATCACGTAGTACAACCTTCTCGATGGTTACTGTCACGATTTTAGCCGGATCGGAGTTGTAGTTTATTTTTGAGAACGTGTGAAAGCAAGTGTGTCCGTTGATTTTTGAAAAATGGAAAAAGAGCAGTATCGGTCGGTGATTCGATTCTTGTTTTTGGAAGGGAAATCGCGCAGCGAAATCAAAAAGCGCTTGGATGCTGTGTACGGTGACTCTTCTCCTTCGATGGCGACCGTCAAAAATTGGTTTAACGAGTTTCAACGTGGTCGCACGTCGATTTTTGAAGAGCCACGTCCAGGTGCTCCGAAAACGGCTACCACGGAGGATAACGTAACAAAAATTCACGATCTCGTATTGGCAGATCGACGATTGAAGGTGCGCGAGATATCTAAGACCGTAGGCATCTCAAAAGACCACGTGGGTCATGTCCTGCATGAAATTTTGGGCATGAGAATCGGTCTGCGCGATGGGTGTCGCATTTGCTCACTCCGGACAACAAGCGCAACCGTGAGACAACTTCAGAGCAATGTCTGACGCTGTTTAAGCGCAATCCGAAGGAGTTTCTGCGTCGTTTCGTAACAGTCGACGAAACATGGATCCACTGGTATACACCAGAGACCAAGGAACAGTCGAAACAGTGGACTTTACCCGGCGAAAGTGCTCCGAAGAAGGCGAACACTGCCCCATCTGCCGGAAGGGTGATGGCCACCGTTTTCTAGGATTCATAAGGTGTGATCTACATCGACTACCTGGAGAGGGGCAAAACGGTCACAGGGCTAAATATAATATAACAAATTATTGGGCCGATTCGACGTCGAATTGCAGAAAAAACAGCCCCATTTGGCTAAGAAAAAAGTGCTCTTCCACCATGACAACGCGCCGGCTCACACCTCCACCGTCGCCATGGCCAAATTGGTCGAATTAGGCTATGAACTGCTGCCCCATCCACCGTATTCTCCAGATTTAGCCCCGTGCGATTTCTTTTTGTTTCCAAACTTGAAAAAGTCACTCGCCGGGCAGGAATTTGAGTTGAATGAGGAGGTAATCGCTGCCACGGAAGCCTACTTTTCAGACCTCCAGAAAATGTATTTTTCAGACGGGTTAAAGCATCCCTGGGCCAAGTGTATCGAACTAAAAGGAGACTATGTTGAAAAATAAAACGCCACTTTTCCAAAATTTTCGTTTTTCTTTTGTAAGCTAAGTACTTATCGGACCACCCTCGTATATTAAGTGTTAAACCGGCGATAGTTTTCAATGACAATCCGGAATCTCTTTTTTAAAATTCTTCGATATCTTTTAAAATTATTGCTTATTTTCACATCATCATCAAACCATCAATTTCCATATTTATTTTTAAAGCGTTATGTAGACAGAAGTTTTTTTGCCTGTAGATTTAACAGTTTATATACTTTTTGTTTACTTGATAGAGATGCAAGTAAGAAGAGAGGCACAAAGTTAAAATATTACCTTTGATTCGAAGTCCGAATGATCTTATCATTTATTTGTTTTGTTTTATTATAAAGGAGGTTTGGATTGACTCTACACTAATAACAATAATTCTTTAACTTATTAATTACTTTATTAATGAAATAAGGATTATAATTATAATTATAATTGTCAGCCGGCATAAAAAACCCCAGTCATAGGTGGGGGAAAAGCCATTGGGCAATCATAATCATACTAATCCGAATGATATGAATAAACAAAGGCAAAACAAAGAACAGAGAAATGTTACAATACAAATACATCTATCGACTTACATTAAGACGCGGTGGAATGGCCAGTCAACTTATTGAAACCTACTCCGGTGACTTTCGCATGTGCACAATCGGACAGGAAGGTGTCCCCAGGATAATAAAAAGGACCTCGGTAGCTCCGATGTCTCGAAAACGGGTCAGTCAGCCCTCGCTACCTCATAGCCGAGAAGAAAGTGGGCAAAGCCACGTGGTTAGAGACATCCCAGAGAACGCGTCTCGTCCTCTCCCAAGGTAGCAGGCTGTCCTGTCTTTGGGCCTCGACGGGTCACCGGGTCGGTTACAGAATCGCAGAAGCTTGAGGTAGAAGAGGGCTTGTGGTCACAATTCACACACTCAAGTTGCACAAGTATATCGGCTCGAGAGAAAAAGAATGGACGCAAAGTGAGAGCGAAATAGACTCGTCTATCCTATCAAGACAACTGGCTGTTACTCTATTAGGTCTGCCGCATTGAGAACGCGAAAAACCGCTACTCTCATTAGGGGCTTCAAGCAAGAACCAATGAGAAACCTGGAAGATGATGCATCTCTCTACCTAGTCTTTCGTCTAGCCGACGTCACCGACACAT